TGGTAAAGACGCGCGGGAAAATGCTCGTCAGTCATGAAGGAAATGCAAATGCCAAACCACTGTGAGGTTCCACTACACATCTGTTCGGGTGGCTAAAATGAACCAAGGTCGACCATACTGAGTGTTGCCGAGGCAGTGGCGAGGTTAGAACTCTCCTGCCTTGCTGGTGGGAATGCCAAATGAAAATGGTACAACCGCTCTGGAACAGTTTCACAGTTTCTTAAAGAATTCAACCACATTTTACCGCATGATCCAGCCCTTGTATTCCAAAGTATTTACCCAAGAGAAATGATATGTCCATGCATAAGGCACAGACACATACGTGATGCTCATAGCAGTTTTATTAGTAATGGTCCCAAACCGGAAATAGCCCGAATGTCCAACAGGTGACTAGCCAAACAGACTATGGGACATCTGTGAAATAATAGACTTATACTTGGAAATGGTAAAGAACGGTTATGAATGCAATGACATGGGCGAACAACACAGGTGAATCTCAGATAATTTGCTTAGTGAAAGAGGCAGAGAAAAAAGTGTATACTGTACGATCGTATTTATATACATTCTGAAAAACGCAAATTCATCTATAGTGATGGAAAGCAGTTCAGTGGATACGATGAGCAGGAGGGCAGGGTTCCAAAGGTGCGGGGGAAACGGGGTGGTGGTGGTTTCCCAGGTGTATACATGTGTCCTTATCAGATAGTACTTTTTCAATTCATGCGGTATATCGGATACCAATTTTCCCTCAATAAAGCTGGCTTTTAAGATTTCATTTTTTTGGGACGCCTGGGTGGCTAAGTTGGTTAAGCCGCTGCCTTCAGCTCAGGTCATGATCCCGGCGTCCTGGGGTCGAGTCCCACATCGGGCTCCTTGCTCAGCGGGGAGCCTGCTTCTCCCTCTGCCTCTGCCTACCACTCTGTTTGCCTGTTCTTTTTTTTTTTTTTAAAGATTTTATTTATTTGTCAGAGAGAGAGGGAGAGAGAGCGAGCACAGGCAGACAGAATGGCAGGCAAAGGCAGAGGGAGAAGCAGGCTCCCCGCCAAGCAAGGAGCCCGATGTGGGACTCGATCCCAGGACGCCGGGATCATGACCTGAGCCGAAGGCAGCTGCTTAACCAACTGAGCCACCCAGGCGTCCCCTGTCTGCCTGTTCTCGCTCTCTCTCTCTCTAACAAATAAATATATAAAATTAAAAAAAAAAAAAGATTTCATTTTTTTTTTGAAAGCTTTATTTCTGTGAAAGAGAGAGAGTGTGCACGTGCACAGAGGTAAGGAGCAGAGAGAGAGAATCTCAAGCAGATTCCCAGATGAGTGCGGAGCCTGACTGGACCCAGGATTCAGTCTCACAAACCTGAGATCACGACCTAAGCCAAAACCAAAAGTCAAACGCTTAACCAACTGCGGCATCCAAGTGCCCCTTTAAGATCTTTTTTTTAATGTAATCTTTTTTTTTTTAAGATTTTTAAAAGATTTTTAAGATTTTAAGATTTTCTGGAGTGGGGAGCACACAAGTAGGGGGAGCAGCAGGCAGAGGGAGAAGCAGGCTCCCCTCTGAGCAAAGAGCCTGATGCGGGGCTCCATCCAGTGACTCTGGGTCTATGACCTGAGCCGAAGGCAGCCGCTTCACTGATTGAGCCACCCAGGCATCGCTTTTATATTTAAGTAATCTCTACACCCAACATGGGGCTCAAACTCACAACCCTGAAATCAAGAGTTGCGTGCTCTTGTGACTGAGTCAGCCAGGCGCCCCTCAATAAAGCTGTTTTAAGAAACAATAGAGGAAACTGGAGAGAGAGAGCGATCTGCCCATAGTTCTACTCACAACACTGATTATTATAATCCAGGAAAGGATTATCTTGGCTTTTTGTCTTTGTTTTTTAACCCATTACAAGGTTTTGTATTTTGATTATTTTTTGAGTGACTATATATATTTTTAAGATTTTATTTATTTATTTGACACAGAGAGATCACAAGTAGGCAGAGAGGCAGGCAGAGGGGAGGGGAAGCAGGCTCCCCACTGAGCAGAGAGCCTCGATCCCAGGACCCCGAGATCACGACCTGAGCCGAAAGCAGAGGCCCAACCCACTGAGCCACCCAGGCACTCCTTGAATGATTATATTTAAACTTACATTTTATCATATAGTTTTTTGATACATACAAAAGGACATTTGGCACCTTGTCTGAGTTAGCAACCGACATACATCGAATGCCCACTGACCCATCTCCCAACCTGAGAACCAAGATTGGACCCAAACCCTTGCAAACTCCTGGGGTCCTTCCTCCATCGTGCTTCTACTCGTCTGAGACCATCATCTTGAATTTTGTACTTTTTCTTTCCCTGATCGAAAAGAGTTGTAGCCCATGTGCCTGTCTCACCAGACAAGAAATAGTTTCCTTTTGCTGGTTTTTTGAGCTTTTGAAAATGCGACTGTACTGTGTGGAGTTTCATGTGATTAGTTGTTTGAGTTTGCTATTCGATCTCCGAGGCTCCTCTGTGTTGTGGCATTCTGTGTATTTTACGGTATTTTCAATCCTCCCTGTGGCCCCACAGGCCGACTTAGCATTTGCTCTATGGGGAAAACACAGCTCAGCGACTGACCCTTCACTAGGATGCTGCAGGAGGACGGCCAGGCCCTCCCCACTTTGAAGTGCATATTTGGGCTGTGGCCTTGACCTTTGACCCTCACTTGGCTATGAGCCAGTTCCCCGGTGCGTCTTCCACTTGCCCACAGAATGGCTCCAAGAGGCTGAGCTGCCCCATCTCCGAGGCTTCACCCATCCTCTTGTTCTCACAAGAACAGACACCGCCGCCCTGACCCAGCCTTGCCACTTCTGGAAAGTCACCTTACAGGATGCTCAAAGGTGCAAGGTGGCACGGGCATGGCATTTATTACACAAGGATATTTATTGCAGTGTCCCTCGTAATCTCAGAGTCGTAGCAACACAGTTACATCGGCAGGGATCTACTCGCAATTAGTTGAACAGGAGTCGCAGCAGAGCTATACGGCGGAGCACCCCTGGCCGTGAAAACGACAAAGGTGGGCGGCACCGATGATGGAAAGCTCTCCAGGACAGACTTTAAAAGGGTAAGAGCAGAACAGCGTGTGGAATAATGTTACTGCACGTATAGAAGGGGGAGAAGAGTAAATCATACGGAACTGCTTAAATACTTCCACAAGCATTCCGAAGTAACTGAGACCTAGTTCACTGTGTCTATTTTTTTTAAAAATAGTGTGCCACGGACAAAGTCTACCTACTTAAAAAATACATAAATAAAATAACACTTTTAGTCTTTTCAGTGCAAATTCCTAGCCTCCCGGCCTTTCTTTGGCTTGTGGCCAGCCTGTGCTGCCGTGACTACTTTATCAGAAGCCCTTGGTCCGTGTCCTACCCCCCCCCCAGCCCCGACCTCCCACTTTTTGGCATGTTACACTCGAGACTTCCCCAAACCCCCTTTGCAGACCCTGGTGGCAGCCACAGGCTGGGGAAACCTGCCACAAGGTGGCGCTCTTTGCTGGCTGCTGCTTTTTTGCGGGGGCGGGGGGGGGCGGGGTCCATCCTCTCCGCTCTGGAGAGGCACCTGGGGTGAGGGTCAGGTGCCTCTGCTGAGTGGGAGCTCACCTCTCCACCCCCAGCACTCCTCAACTCGGTCCCACACCTCCACCAAGAAATCTGGAAAATGGGAAGGTAGGGATCTATCACGTCCCTCCACCATTTGGCCCATCAGACGTCCTCCCGGCAGGCGCAGACCGTCAGAACTTGGGAGGTGCCTGTTACCCTCCTTCGGGTCTCAGGGAGAGGGCAGGCGTGCTTGCCCATGTACAGCTCTGTCTCCCTCCCGGTCTGACAATCTATTTCAGCCAAAAAACCCAACGAGTCAGAGCAGTCGGGGCTCTGCAGGAGGGTGGACAAGGGGATGATAGGACAACCTGGGATGGCCCGGGGCCCTTGGCAGGGGCAGTAGGGACTGGGCTGCCCCATGCATCCATTTATCAAATACCAGCAACCCACCGGGTGGAGAGAAATTCTTAATTCAAACACTTGCCTGGAATATCAGAAGATAACTGGGCCACATTGGAGACCTGACCTCTGGGCCTTTGCTCAAGCTCTTTCCCAAACTCAGGGCCTTCCTACCCTAGGCAGCCACGGTCCTGTGTGGGCACCTGACCTCTCCTTCAAGGCTAGCGGCCATCCTGCCTCTTTGGCCTCACCTTCCCGGAGGCTCCGGCAGTCGAGAGCAGCCTGGTCAGTGCAATGGCGGGGTGGGGCGCCCTGGCCTGAGGATATGGAGCCCTCTAAGAGGAAAAAGTGCGAGAATGACAATGCAAAGCCCAAGGTCAGCCATGGGCAGACAGACGTACCCTCGAGATGCAGGCTCCGGCAAGGATCGCTGCCTTCGCTGGGAGCTGGTCCACATCTTGGTACCGACCCTCTGTGAGCCCAGGGTCTGGCACTCAGGAGGCCGTCTGGGAGTACTGGTGAAACGGACACAGGCTGATCTTCCCAGAGTCTAGCCTGCGGATGGTGCCCGTACTCTGCAGCCGGCCTGACGGAACACACTGATACCTGGGCAACAGCTGGGGGCAGGGAGGTAGCCCCAGGCATGGGCAGGGGATACAGCTCACAGCAGGCTGTGTCTATAGAGCAGTGAGTGGCTGGCCCTTCCCAGGCCCTGGCTGCCCGGTGAGATCCCGGGTGGGGCAGGGGTGCCCTGGCTGAGAATCCCTTCGTTCGGGGCCTCATCCCACCAGCGTGATTCCTGGCCTCACACTTCAAAGCCGAGGGCTCGTGCTGAGCAGGCGAGTCTGGGAAGGCAGTACCCCTGAGATGCCTTTTGGGGACACTGGCCTCTCCATCAGCTCTGCCTGGCTCCCCCATGGGTGGCCCCCCTTTTCTGGTGCCACAGAGAGATAAGCTGGAGGGAGGAAGGAGAGGAGGAGGGAGATGAGACTGTGAGCTCAGCTCCCCCTCCAACCCCCTGACAAAGAGGGATCAGTGGAGTAAAATCAAACCAGCTTTAATACCAATATAGTCTCTCTTTTAAATACCATGTTCCCCAGGACAGGGTGCAGGGGGCAAGCTCTTGGCAGGAAGAATGGAAAGGAAATGTGGAACAAAATGGAATGGGTCGCCTGGGCCTGCCCCCACCCTGCCCAGGGCCCTTGCTGCAGGGCCCCAGCTGCGCACAGGGGAGGGGGAGGGGACAGCAGCTTCCTCTGGTCCAGTTTTGGGGGGGGGGGGGGGGGTGCTGGGGTGGCCTCCCCTCCACTCCCCTCCGTAGTCCCAAAACTCTTCTCAGGATTATTTCTGCCCTTCAGGCCAGCACAGCCTGGGCTCCTCTGACAGGGGAGAGGGCCCTCTGCCTCAACGGACTGCAGCTAAGGCCTGGGGGCAGGGTGGGGGGATGGCAAGGCCAGACCCGCCCCCTCAGTAGCTGCTCTGATGGCCGGTGAGGATGTAGAGGTTGCTGTGAGCCCCTGGGTTGTCGGTGGGAATGCTCTCGAGGATGATATCTCTGGAGGCGAGAGAGAACCGGACGTGAGCAAGGCAGGGAAGACCTGTGGGCACGTCCATCCGGCCACAGGCGCATCCGAAAGGGAGTCGGGGCACCGTGTCCTACCTGTGGGCCCCGAGCACCCGGAAGATCCTTGTCTCGTCTGTGATCTCCTGGGTCACCTGGGAAGAAAAGAGGCACTGAGGCCACCCCAGCAGGTCCTCTCCTAAGGGGCGGGGCCAACAGGGTGTGGGGTCGTGGGGGCAGCCAGGGTCCTGAGTTCCACACACCTCGTTGGTGTCCAGGCTTCGGCCTTGCATCCCATGACTCCAGAAGGCCAGCACGCTGTCTTGCAGACACACTAGGAGGCATCGGACTGCCTCAGGCCTGCACCAGCTCTGAGGACGCCCCCCCCCCCCCCCCCCCCCCGCCCCAGCCACCCCCTGGGCCCAGGTCTGGGCCACAGGGGTTCTTGCAGATGGCAGGTGAGCCGTGTGGCTCTTGAGAGGGGCTGGGGCCTGCCCCCTCATCCAACTGCCCACCCCCGGCCCCTGAGAGGCCACAGTCCGTGCTCCAGGCTAGGGACCTTCCCAGCCCCACCCGCATCCTGCTCACTCACCCACAGTCTCGATGGGGAAGTCAAAGGTCAGCACAGGCGCCAGTGCGGCCGTGGGCTCACCCAGCAGGTCGACAATCCTCACGCAGCCTATACAGGGAGAGGGCTGGTGGATGCGAATGGGGTGGTCCCCTTCTGGGGAGGCGGACCCTTACTCACGTGGCTTCCCTCAGCCTCCCCACGGCCCCTCCACTACCCCCAGCCCTGACCTCGGGGGCACTCACGGTCAAAGCAGACTAGCACTGTGTCCCTGTCCACCTGGATCACCTGCTGGGCGGTGCCCGGGAGGCCCTCTGCAGGCAGACAAGGGAGACGCGCCCAGCTGAGCCGCCAGCTTCGCTCGGGCCGCCAGACCGCCAGCTGTCCCCACAAGCACATCCCAACCCCACAGCAGTCTGACAGATGCCCACACGGGCCAGTGTGGGGAACTGAGATTCAGAGTTGCTGAGTGACCCGCCTGCGGGCACGTAGAGAGGCAGAGGGGTGTCCCAGGAAGCCGGGGAGGCCAGGGTTTCTGGAGCTGGGAGGAGCACCATGTGTGACTCTGCCACTATGTGACCCCATGTCTCTGAGCGGTCACACTCGCATTCTCAGCTCCCTCGTGCGAAACACAGGCCTTGCAGGGCCATCGTGAGGATTAAGAATGAAGGCCTGTGTGGGAGGCTCCTGGCTGGGGGTACAACTAGCCTCAGTCCAGTGCTCCTGTCCTTCCTGACCCACGGCCACCCCCCTCTGCTCCCCTGAGCCGTCCCAACCCAGTGTCCTGCTTCCCCTGCTCAAAATGAAGGCCTCTGGTGCCCGCCTTACCCAGTCTGGTTCTGTCCCCGCTGGCCCCTACCGGTCTTGGGCAGGCTTTTCTCAGCTGCCAAGCCTGAGGTCCCATGAAACCTTTTATTTTTTTATTTTTTTTTAAACCAAGATTTTATTTATTTATTTGACAGACAGAGATCACAAGTAGGCAGAGAGGCAGGCAGAGAGAGAGGAGGGAAGCAGGCTCCCCGCTGAGCAGAGAGCCTGATATGGGTCTTGATCCCCAGGGCCCTGGGATCATGACCTGAGCCGAAGGTAGAGGCTTAACCCACTGAGCCACCCAGGCGCCCCTAATGAAACCTTTTAAAGAAGCCTGGCTGGAGGGGCACTGGGAGCTCTGGGCCTCCAGGCTCTCCGAGGGACCCTAAGCTGCTGTGAAGCCAATCCCTAACCCTCCACTGCCCATCCCCCCCCGCCCCCCGCCCCCCACCCCCCGCGCGCGCGTACACACACACACACACACACACACACACACACACAGCCCTCCAGCTCACCAGGGGGTATGAGGACATCAGGAGTCAGACCAGCCTCCAGGGGCAGGACGTGGAAGAGGACTCGGCAGCCAGGCCCCTCCGGGCCCTCTGCCCCCACGCAGACCTGCGGCAGCTCCTTCCCGTCCAGCACCAGGGGTTCCAGCATCCCTGCTGGGCTGGGCAGGGGGCTGGAAAAGTTCTGGGGGCAGCAGCGGTGCTCAGGTCTCCATTTCTCCCCCCAGGCCCACTGCTGCCGCCCAGGGTCCCCCCTCTCCCGGCCACAGCCCTCCCCGCCGCCACCCCCCATCGCGTACCTTCAGCAGCAGGAACTTCTGCAGCGGCTCATACCACTGCAGCAGGAGCAGGCTGGCGGGCAGGGCGGCCAGCAGGAAGGTGCTGCCCGTGTAGGGGTTCCGCACTGCAAGAGAGGCCGGCAATGGGGACCGGGACGTGCCTGTGACCTCGGCTCCCCCCAGCCCCCCCAGAGCCTGGCTCTTACCCACACGACACTGCAGGCAGCCTTTGGTGTCTGGAATCTTGGCGGACAGGGCAAAGCGCCTGCAGGGGGTGACGACCAGGGCGTGGGTCATGGGTGCCATCCAAGGTCAAGGCCCCCCTGAGCCTTGAGATGGGCACTATCCCCTTCCCTGCCTGATGGGGAGGTGGGGAGAGACTGAGGCTCCAGCACCCACCTCCACAGCCTGCAGCCCAGGGGTGTGGGCACAGAAGTCCCTTCACCTGTGCCCCTTTGGGCAGCTCGCTTAACCTGCCCCTGCCTCGACTTCCTCATCTGGAGAATGGGGGTCACTGTGGCACCGACCCCACAGGGAGGAGAAGGGCTTCCAGCAGAGCCCAGTGCGCTGCGTGCACACAAGCAGGGCTAGCATTTTCCAATCCGAATAATTACTTTCCTGCTCACTATCAGTCACTGAAAATCCTTCTGAGGCGAAGGCAAGACCTAAAAGCGGCCGCGAATGGGGGAGCAAGGGCAGGGACAGGGCAGGAGCGGATGGCGGCTCCAGCCCCCGTGAGGCCCGTCAGAGCACCCCCACCCCCGCCTGCCACATGTCACAGGTCACAGAAGGGCAGGCGGGCTCAAGGGGATTAAGACTTGCAAGAAAACCACAAACAAATGGCCAAGCCTCGTCTGAAGGGATGCCACAGGGGGCTGGCGGGTGGCTCAACTACCTTGGCTGCCTCGGCAGGGGGAGAGTAGGTATCGTCCTTGCTTTGGTTATTGGCCGCCCCCACAAGCCCTCAGGGGGCCTCCAGAGTCCGATTCCTTCTCTGGGGAACAGGGTGACACGTCTGGAGGCCTGCCTCGGCCTTCCAGCGACCCAGGCCATCTGCCCCCTCTGTCTCCTCTCTCCCTTTGCTCCTGCGGCTCTCTGTCCCAACTGGCCTCTGGACGGGACAGAGGCATATATTTTTGTATCTGTTTTTTTCTTTTTTTCCTCCAAACAATTCTGCCTTTCTGATTTTAATGTGCAAAAGGGACACCACGACTCTGTGACTTTCCAAACACACACCCAAGCTGGGGTCCTGATGGGCCTGTTTCCTGCAGGTCCTGGGACAAAGCAGAGGTTTGCTCGGGAACTGAGTTCAGGAAGCCCCAGGGCCGCAGGGCTCCAGATGTGGTATGTGAGTGAGGCCGTTGCAGGAAGGGCCTGGGCCCACAGCTCCCCATCCGGGGTAGCCACCAGCCTGACCTCTCTCGCCGCCCCTACCAGCTCCCACCATCCCCCCTGAGCAGGGCAACATCCAAGCCCACAGCGCGGACCCCTCCTTGAATGCAGGCACAGCTGGCACACAGCCGCCGGAGGTCCTGCTTGTGCGTCTCAGACTCGATGCGAGACACTGGATTCTGACCCACCCCCATCTGATGACAACCCTATCCTTCCTGCGGCCCAGGCAGAAAACCCCGGAGTCATCCTAGACTCTTTCTCTCCCACCCACCAACTGTCAGGAAATCCTGCTGATTCAACTTGCAAAAGAAAACCAGAATTCAGCCACTTTTTATCTCCTTCCCTGCTACCCTGACCCACGCCACCATCGCCTCCCCCCTGATGATTCCAAGAACCTCCTGACCGGTTTCCCTGCTTTCCCTTCACACCGTCAGTCTATTTTCAACACAGCGGCTACAGGGATCCCTGGTCCATGAACCTCAGAAAACCTCAGTCTACGTCACTCTTCTGCAGCGGCCCTCGGGCTGCTCTGAGTCAAAGTCAAAGGCCTCACTGTGGCTACAGGGCCCTTCCAGATCACCTTCCCTGCACTCCGTCCATCTGGCTACACCAGGCTCCTTGCTGTTCGTCAAATAGGCCAAGCCTGTTCCTGCCCCAGATCCTTTGCACTGGCCGTCCTTGCCCCCTGGAACGCTCCCTGCCCCCCGCCCCCCAGATATCAACAAGGCTTGCTCTAAGTCTTTACTCAAACAGCACATGTCAGCCAGGTCCTTCCTGACCACCTTGTTTAAACACAATCTAGGCTCCACCCCTCCTATTTCTCCTTCTCCCCTTGCTTTACGTACCATTTCCCCCTCTGCACATCATCACAGAATACCCTTTTTATGTTGATTGTTTGTTGTCTGTCTCTCGTGACAAGAAAGTCCAGAGAATACGAGGGACTCTAGTTCACAGAGGGCCCCAGACACATCCAAGGTACTGACCTTGGACATCCCCTGGACACCTCACAAAACACATGGCACTATCTGCTCCCCTGAGGTCCCCTAGTCCCTCCCTTCTCCCTCTTGCTCACTCCGGTCAGGCCCCAGATCTGGTCAACCCTGCTTCCTGAACATGGCTCAAGCCATGACCACTGTCGGCACAGCCAGCTAGCAGATGCCTCTAGTCTTCATCTGTCTCTCTTGACCCCCAGCTCTAGGACAGGGCACGTGACCCAGGCCTGTCCCCCACCCCCTGAGCTCCTCATGCCGTGGCCACAGGGACAGGCTCAGAGTGGGCAGGGACCTAAGCTAGACCCATGGACTTTGTGGGAATCCCTTGGAAGCCAAGGTTCTAGTACCACAGAACTGTTAGCTAAGGCAACGCTGGTCGGGCGGGCCTGCCTCCCTGGACAAGAAAGCCTACCTGAGAAGGAAGCGGATAGAGGAAAGCAGAGCCAAGAGATGCAGGCAGATTCCTGATGAAGCCGTTTAAGCCTGGATCCAGCTGGGCCTGAAGCTAACTCTATTCCTGACCTCGCAATTACATGGGCCACTAAATCCCCTTTTCTGCTTATGTCAATGATTTGCATCGCCGGCAACAGGAAGAGTCCCGACTGACATACCGAGGGATCTTTCTAAAACGCTCCCCGTGCTGCTGCCGCTTGAACAAAACCCAGATCCTGGGCCTGGCATCAAAGGAAGGGCTCTGACACCGATGTGTCTCCCCCTCAGGCTGCTCTGCCCTCCTCCCTCTGTCCAAACAACTCCCCAGATCACCCACAAGAATTCCCTGGTGCTCTTCTCCGGCCTGGAACGCCATTCCCAAATTCATCTGCACAGAAGCCTGCTGTGTACCTGCCAACCCAATGGCCTCGGGTGGCTGCCCTCCCAGAGTCCTCTGCGCCCCTCCCAGCTCTCCCTGGTTCCCTGCCTGGCCAGGTACTGACCGTTAAGGACACATGTGATTTGCTGTCTCTAAGCCCAGCTTAGGCACAGACCTACAGCAAGTGCTTGCTAAGCATTTCCTGGTACCCTAACGACCACAGCTGCCTCACCAGGGTCTCCCTTCTTCCAAACAGGCCTGGGGACCCAGGGGCCCGGGATGGGGGCTACTAAGGCTCTGACAGGCAGAGTGACCTGTGAGATCACAAGCCCAGTCCCATGCAAGGCTATGCATAGTCCAACCCTGGCTCTGCCCCTCCACCTCCCCCCTTTCCTGCCCCACTGCATCATCCAGGCTCCTCGGGGGGGCGGGGGGGTCCTGACCTGGGGATGATGCGCTGTGTGAGGCGGTTGGTGGGGATGGAGAGGGGAACCTGTTGCTGGAGTCTTCGCTGCTCAAACAGGCCTGGGAGGTCATGGGCCCAGATGTGCGTGGATTTCCCTGCCGGAGAGAGGGAGAGAGGGGCTCAGAGAGCGCGGGTTGTGGGGGGGGGCAGGCCCCAGCCCCTGGCGGCCCCAGCCCGTACCTGAGAGCGACAGCAGCACGTTATTCACACAGTAGAGCCAGGTGCAGCGCTGCGAAATCAGCTGGAGGCCACAGAGCGATGGGTGGACGGGGAGTCGGCACCCCAGCCTCCCAGGGCCCTCCCCCCTCCAAAGCCAGCCGGGCCTCACCTTCTCCAGCGTGTCCTCATGTAATTCATGCAGGTTGAGGGTGTAGATGCCTTCCTCGGCCCCCACCACCAGGAACTGGTCTGCGGGGTGGGGATGGGGTCTGGGGTCAGGGGTCCATCCCCCACCCTTGGCCCAGGCTGGGGGATTCCTGGGCTTCCGCTTCCTCCCGGCCCCGGCCTACCCCGGGTGACAGGGTGAACCCAGGTGACAGCAGCATGGATCCGCAGGGGGCAGCCATTGAAGACCTTGGAGAAGCAGGCGCCCATCTGGAAAGAAGGCAAGAGGTGGGTGAAGACAGAGCTGGGGGAGGCAGGAGGTGGGTGGGGGGGGGGTAGCGGGCAGGCAGGGCTGCAGGACACTTACGTGCACCTTGGGGGTTGGGGGGAGCCCGTGGCACAATGATCTCTGGAAGGGAGGGACCCAGTCAGGGCCAAGGGAGCACCCCAGCCTCCCATCTTGCCGGCCCCTCTGGAGCACTGTCTCACCTCAGGATCCTCCCTGTGCTTCATGGTGGCCCAGGCAGTGGGGAGCAGTGGGGGGCTATTAGGGCCTGGGGGCGGTGGAGATAGGGTTCCTGCAGGCACAGACCGGCTGTGAATTCCAGCTCCAGCCCTACCCGAGCTGGCCTCCTGGTCCCCCAAGACTGGACTCACCCAGGGGGCTGGAGAGAGGGTCTTCTTCGGCTGGAGGTTCAGCAGGGGATGGCCCCAAGAACGGGGCCCGCTTGATGGTTCCTGTGGTATCGTCTGGGGAGTCCAGCTCCTGGGAGGAGAGTCAGGGGACCGAGCCTGGCTGTCAGCAGGTCCCCCGTAACCTGGTCTCACCCCACCTACACCCTTTGCAGCCCCCCCCCCCCCCCAGCTCCAACTCCCCTCCACACTATACCTGGAGTTCTGAGGCTGGCCGGATGGTCAGGCTCCTGTGGGAGACCAAACAGGGGGACATGAAGTATGAGATGTCACCGGGCCCCAGATCCAGCTGCCCGCCCCCCACCTTCCGGCTCAGTCCCTCACCTTTCCTCTAGGGCCTCCTCAACGGACTGTAGCAGGCTCCTGGGCAGGAGGGGATGAGGTCAGAAGTCAACCTCTTTGGCTGCCCCCACCCCTCCCCTGTAGCTTCCCTCTCCCTCACTCACCCACTCAGCTCCTCCTTTCCCAGCAGCGTCCACTCCTCCTCCCACTGCGGGGAAACCAAGTCAGAAAGGCCAAAAGGGAAGCAGAGAGAAGAGAAGCAACATAAGAGGGTGATCGAGAGACTGTGGGAGAGAGAGGACAGACAAACAGATGGAAAATAACATGGTACAGGCAAGAGAGCTGTGATCGAGAGACAAGGAAGGGCAAAGAAACTATGAAAGAGGAGGACAGACAAAAGGCAAGAGAAGGGGAGAGAGAAACAGCAGAAAAAGGGACCAGAGAAGGGGACCCAGAGGTGGTGGGTCAGATAACTGGGTGCAGACACAGAACACCAGAGAGAACCACGCTGAGCGGGTGGGGTGCGGGCTCGTGTCTGTGATAGGCCCGCTTTTTAGAGAGGTGTGATCACGGTGCCCAGAAGGAGCACCCCCTAACCCCCTTCAGTGTCACTGTTTTCCCCAGGCCTCAGGGATCTAAGGCACTCAACCTCTAGCCCAGCTCCTCCCACGTCACTGGAGCTCACGGCCCCTCCCTCACCACAGGCCCCCCTCACCGGCTCATTTAGTGGGTCTGTTTCCTTCCTTCGTGGGGCACCAAATTTCACTTGGTGAACTGGCGGGGGAGGTCCAGGGTATGCGAGTTAGCAAGGTAGTCTCCCGAATGACTCTCATACTCACACCAAATGCCCACACACAGCCCCCCACCAGATTCCCTACCACAGCGCCCCCCACCAGGTCTATGCACACGGCTCCCCACCAGATCCCAGAGTCCCCCACCAAATCCACACACACACACAGTTCCCTACCAAATCCATACATACAGCCCTCCCACTGGATCCCCCCCCACGGCCTCCCACCGGTCTGCTACCACAGTCCTCTCACCAGATCTACCCACACAGTCCCCCCACCAGATCCCCCACAACCTCCCACCAGATCCACACACAGCCCCCCAATCTACATACAGCCTTTCCCCAAATCCAATCGGTACCCCATCAAGTCCACACGCCCCCAACTATATCCAAACACATAAGCCCCCACCAAATCCACATCTGCACACACAGCACCCCCAAGTCCATATACACAGCCCCCACCAAAACGCCCCACAGCTCCCCCCACCAAACCCCCACGTGTGTCCCCCACTGGATTCCCCCCAAAGTCCCCCTGCACAGCCCCCCACTGGATCCACCAGCCCCCACCAGATACACACAGCCCCCCCGATCCACATAAGCCCCCCACTGGATCCCCTACATAGCCCCCAGCCAAGTCCATCTACTCAGCCCCCCACCAGATCCGCACACACAACCCCACTAACCTCCCCCACCCCCACAAGTAACCTCCTGAGCAGACTCACACTGGATCTCCGAGGGGGTCCTCTCGGCCGGGCCGTGCTGCCCCCGGGAGTGAATGGTGTCTGGAAACATGTCATAAGTCTAGGAAAGAACACAGACAGTTGACACTCTCCTGGCACTCGCTCGAAGTGCTTTACCCACATTTGGTTTTCACAACAACCCTCTGAGATGATCATAAGATTCAGGATGAGAAAACCAGCACAAAGAAGCAAGTAACTGGCTAAAGATCACACAGAGACCAGAAGAGAGCTTAGCCAGGGTCAGGTCAGCCTGAGCCAAGAGCAGGAATTTATCAAGTGGGGGGTCCTGGGAGGCAAGATGAGCCCAGGGAAGATTTCTAATGGGTGGGTGCCCCTGGAGGAAGGCCCCCAGTGCTGGAAATACGTAAGTCAAAGGAACCTGACCCAGACCGCCTCTGCATTGCTTCTCATCTGCCCAGGCCAAGATGCATTCTTCAGCTCCCCTCACTTACCTCTAGGTCACAGTCCTCTGGGGAAGGGGTCCCCAGGTGCGGGTCATTGGCTTTGTCCAACAGCTGTGTGAGGAGAGCCCGAGGGAGGTGCTGGGTTGTGAACGGGTGCTGGAGGAGGGGGGGCACAGGTTGGTTCCTGGCCTCTAGGGCCCTGCTTGCCAACCCCTCAGCCCCTGCCCTGCCCCCATCTCCCACCTGCAGAAGCTTCTCTGCTGTTGGCCTCTTCTTGGGGTTCTTGGTCAAGGCCAGTTTGAGGAAGTGGTGGAAATTCTGGGTCCTAGTGGGCACAAGAGCCCCCCCCCCCCCAGACCCAAGTTAGCCCTCATGTGGGGCATCCTGCCAGCTCCAAAGCAGGGAGTCTGCTCCAGGAAGGAGCCAGCCTGAGGCCAAGGGCAGCCGGCCTGAGTGATATTGCTGTTGTGACCGGGTGGCTCCGTGGTCATTAACCATGTGCCCTCCCTCCCGGCCCACACCGGGTCCCCCACGCCCAGGGGCAGGGGCGCGCCCCGCCCACAGACAGTCCACAAAGGCTGAGAGCACAGAGCTCCCCAGGTTGCACCCTGGGAGCTGGCAGAAGGTTCTCTGCCCCCGTGGAGACTGCTGGAAAGGAGGCCCCGGCAGGGGACGTGGGCCCTCACCAGCGCGTCTTGTCTCTCAGCCTGGGCGGCTGGAAGCTACTCTTCGACATAAGCATCAGGGCCCTGTGGAGAGCACGAGGTCAGGGGACAAGGTCTGCAGGGCCCTGGAGGTCAGGCAAGGGGGCAGGTCAGTGTTCAGCAGACCTCATGGGGTGTAGATGGAAGAGAGGGGGCTGCAGCTCGCCCAGCTCGATGGCGGTGATGCCCAGGGCCCAGACGTCACAGAGCTCATTGTAGCCTCCTTTGCGTTCCACGGCGGCCACCTCTGGGGCCATCCTAAAGAGGGGGTCACAGATGGGATGGCCAAGTGCCTGATCTGTGCCCCCCCACCCCCTCAGCCAAAGGCACAGCCTCACCAGTATGGAGTCCCAATGAAAGACCTCCTCTTAGCCACGGACGCCGTCAGCTCGCCTGACACCCCAAAGTCGGCTGCAGGGACAAAGAGCTGTTCCCACCTGCCCTCTGGCTACTGTTCCCCACCCACCTCCAGGGCTGAGGCTCGGAATGCACCTAAAGGGTTCAGAGAGCAGGCGGCCCAGGTTCAGCCGCAACTGCCACACGTCCAAGTCGAGGCCAGGGCCCTCTCCAGGAGGGGTCAACCACCTTCTATCCCTGACCAAGTGTGGAGTCCCAGGTTAGACTCCATACAGACCCAACCACAACCAACCGCTAGCGGGGAAGGAGAGTGGTTCCATGTTCTCATCGGGGAAGCTGAGGATTAAGCGGTGAAGTGACTCGCTCAAGGACACCCAGCCCTCCAATGCAGACCTTAAGACTCCACAGGCTTCCAGAGAAACCTCACCCTGATTGTGTCCCCGGGGTACTGACCCAGCTTGACATCTCCCTGGAGGGTGAGGAGAAGATTGGCTCCCTGTGGGAATGGAGGAGAGAGAATCCCGTCTGGTGCCCCCGAGAGCCTCCCCCCACCCTCCCAGGATGCCCTTGGCGGGACCCCTACCTTGATGTCTCTGTGGATCTTCCCCTGAGAATGCAAGTGGTGCAGGCCCTGGGGACAAAGAGAAGCTCCTGAGAGCAGCCACCCAGGACTATCCCCCCTTTCCTGAGCCCCCTCTCTCAACTGGGGCCCCCCACCCAAGCAGCTTCCTCCTCCCCTCTCCCCAAACAGGAAGTGACTGAGCCAAGAGGGAAATGTGCTGCTTCCGGCAACAGGGCTGGGGCCCCTTCCCCGCCAGGAACCACAGCCCCTCAGGCCAGCTCTGCCTGAGCCACTCCACACAACCCCCAACACACACACACACACACACACACATACACACACGCGCGCCAATCCAGCTGGGCTCCCTGCCCACAGCTCCTGGGGACTGGGGGTGTGAACAGCCTTAGGGGCCTAGCTACCTTCAGTGCCTCTCGGCAGACATAGGCAATCTGCCGTTCCTCCAGGGGCCCGGTGGCTGGAATGGAATGGGTGAAGGCTGGCATGGAGGTCTGGAGAATAGGCTGACCTTCCCAGGCCACCCCTTGTGGGGGAAAGCAGCAGGCACTGCCAGGTAAAATAGATGTTAACCACATCCCCTCCCTGTACAGCCTGGGATACAGAGCCCAGAGAAGGACACCGTTTCTCTCAAGGTCACACAGCCAGTGAGGAGTGGAGAGGGCCCACACAGCCAGTGAGGAGTGGAGAAGGGCCTGAGTCTGGGACTCCAGCTCTCCTCTCCTGCCCCATGCTGGGGAAGGGCGGGCTGGGAAAAGGCTGTGGCCCTCTGGGGCCTGGAGTCCCGGTCCTCACCGTGGTAAATCTCCTGCAGAGACCCCCCTCCGCAGAACTCCATGCAGATCCACAAGCGGTCATTCCTGGGGGGCGGGGGGGGGGGCACAGAACTGGGGTGGGCACACAGCAGAGCCACATGGGAGCTGCCTGGGGGTAGGCAAGGGAATAAAGCAGCCTCACCTGAGGTAGCTGCCAATATAGGCCACCACGTTGGGGTGACGACACTCACGCAGGATGGTGATTTCCTGCTGGAGGGAGCTGGTGTCGTCCCCTGGGGAGAACAGGGCATCATGGGGAGGAGGCGCCTAGGGATTGCTCTAACTCAGTGCCCCCATCTGCAAAATGGGCACATCTGGGCCAGAAAGATCCCAAGTGACAGTACCTCCTGGGGCCTGCCTCTCAGGGGGTCAACTCTCAGCGCCCTCCCGGCGCTCCGCCCTCCCTCCAGCGCAGAGGCCCTGGCCCCGGGCCCTCACCTGGGTCTAGCTTGACTATCTTGACCGCGGCCAGTTCGGACGTGACCGTGTCGCGGGCCTGCGGGGGCGGAGGAGGCGAAGCGGGATGAGGAGGGGGCGGGGCTGAGGGCTGGAAGCGCGGTAGGGCGCAGAGCCGGCACCCTCCCCGCCGCTCTCCCGCCCGTCCGGCCGCCTGGCGCACCTTGTAGACGTCGCCATAGGTCCCGGCCCCCACGCGCTGCAGCAGCTCGAAGCGGTCCCGTGGATCCTGCAGCGACACTTCCCGCAGCAGCGCCATTGCCCGGCGCCGCGCGGGCAGTCGTGAGCTGCGGAGCCGCGGAGCCGGCGCGGGGCGGCGCGGGGCGGCGCGGGGCGGGGTGGGGCGGGGCAGGACCGCCGGGGCGGGCGCGGGTGTCTCCGAGGCCGCGGAGGCGGGGCCCGGGCCAGGGGCGGGGCCAGAAGGGGTGGGGGTGGGCGGAAAATGCCCCGCCGCCCGGCCGGGAGGAGGCGCCCGCGGGACAGGCCCTTGCCGGGAGGGGAAGCCCCGAGGCCGGGCGGAGCAGACCCGGCAGAGGCCCTTCGGCCGGCCACCGGTTCCCTGCGCCGTACAGGTGGGGAGCCCGAAGGCCAGAAGGCAGAGGGAAGAGGGGACACCCCTTCCTTGTCCCGCCCGCCCCTCCCGCAATTTCCCCGATGAAACACGGACGTGTACTTTTTTTTTTTTTACAAAATGTATTCATCTTCCTTGGAACTGAAAAATAAATCTATGTACAAAACAGGAAGAGATCAGGCTCCCCTCACCCACTCGCAAACCCCTGCAGATTTCCTCCGGAGTCCCCTGAGACGGGCTGGACCTCAGGGAGGTTCCCAGAGGGTCGGAAAGAGGTCTGCTCTGATCTGGGGCCAGTTTGGTCAGGAAGGGGGCGGGGCTCAGGATTCACAGGCCGGAGACTGCGTTTCGTGTCCCAGACTGGGGGGCAGAGAAGGGAAGAAGCTAGGATTTCCAAACTCTGAAAGTTTAAGTTCTTTGGGGTCGGGGGCTTGGATTCCCAAGGGATGGAATTCTGAAGTGCGGAATTGTACTCCTAGGGGCCGATCGGAGTCCCAGGTTCCCGAGTTGGAGGCGGGACCTGTGCTTCTGGGGTGTAGGGCGAAACCTTGGCCCCACAGGCCGGGAGCAACCGTGAGCAGCCCGGGTCTGGCCCAGGGTTAGCGCCTCGGTTCTGAGGTGGGGCCTGTTTCCAGTGCTTGGACCTTTAAAGATTAATGATGGAGCTCCAAGTGAGGTTTCCCTCGGCCGGCCGGCTGGGATTCCCGGGGGGGATGCGATCTACATTCCAATGACCGGCAGAGCCGGGGAGTGGTCTGCCCTCCCGCAAGTTGCAGCAGGGGTTCGGAGGTGGGGGGCCTGGAGGAGGGGCTCAGGCCCCCTTGGCCCGGGGGCGGGGCTTGGGTTCGAGGTCCGGGGGGGGGTGACGGGGGTGGCCCCTCCATCGGGACCGAGTGCCCTTGTCCCCCCACCGCAAGGGCCGGCAGGTAGTTCAGAGACCCTTGCGCTGGCGCTTGAGGAAGGAAAGAGTGTAGTCGCTAGGTGTAGACACCTTCTGCTTCTTCATCTGCACTTGCGACTGCGCCGTGAGCTGCAGCTTGATGGCGCTCGAGTTGATCTTGGTGGCCACCAGCAGCTCCTTCATGCCCTTCATCTTCTCGCTCTGGAAAGTGAGCACCGGGCCCTCGGGCAGTGATGACGCCGCAGGCGCTGGCGCCGGAGCCGTGCTGCCTCCTTCCGGGCCGCGGGCGGTGCCGGGGACTGTCCCTGGGGGCTTCCGAGGGGGTCCTGACATCGCCCCCTGGCCTCCGCCCGGGACCTTGTCCAGCGCGGGCTTCTTAGGCGGCGGTGGCTCCTCGGGCTTGGACTCACGCCGCGGGCCTCGCCGCCGTCCTTCCCGGGCTTCCTCGCCCCAAAGCTCCTCCGCCTCCGCCGCCTCAGCCTCCCGACTCACGATGCGCACCTTCTGCCGTACCTGGCCAGGGAGAAAAAGTGGAGGCCAGGCTGCAGGCCTGTGGCTGGAAGCCCAGGACCAGCCTCGGGCTGCGTGTCCCAGGGCCTCAGTCCTACCTACACCCAAAGGGGACAAGCCAACCCTCTTCAGGACCACGAAGGTTCTGCCTCCCCAGCGGCCATCACCCCCTGGCCTCCCCCGAAGGCCTGCGCAGCTGCTCCTCACCTGTCCCTCGAACCGGCCTAGGGACTGCACGAGGAAGGTGGCCCAGCCCACGTGCAGCACTGGCGTGGGGCTGCCCTCTTCCCACTTGCAGATGCCGTCATAGAACCGCAGCAGGTGGGCAAAGCACTCCGGGTCCTGGAGGGCAGAACCCTGGCTCTGGGCACCCTGGGCAAGGGGAAAAGTTGTCTTAGATCTTTCAGAGCCTCCTTCCTTTTGTAAAACCAGTCCTTAGCCAGGACTTGGGGGAAGGCAGAAGCCATCTCTTACCTATACCCCACCCCCCCCCAACTGAATGAGGGGCACTGACCATGAGAGAGATGGGCTTCCACACCCTTTCCCTGCAGGCACAGAGTAGTAACCCCTAAAATACCCTCAGCTCCCTCAAAGCCAGGCCAGGGACCCCCTACAGCAGATAGAATGTAGCTCTCCACGCGTGGCCACCTTCCCCCAGCAGGCCCCAGTCGCACACAGCAGTCCCTGTAGCCAGGGACAGGGAGCTCTGCTGGGGGGTGGGGAGGCCCGCAAGGTGAACACAGGCTGCCCCTCCAGCTCTTCACCTGGGTCTGCTCCCCTGGCCGCTCCTCGCCGGCCTCCAGCAGGCTGGCTGCCTCCTTCAGCAAGTTGGGGATGACATCATTGGCTACTTCAAAGAACTCCTTGTAGATCTCCTCGTCTTCACGGCAGTAGTTGTAGCTGTGAGAGCAGTAGGGCACTGTGGGGTCTGGGCCATGGCAGGGACCCCCAGGGACCTGGTAAGCGGATGCGGTCTTCCCTTGGAAATCATGGGTCTGAGTAAGCGGTGTGGGGAGCATGGGGCAGGGGGTACAAGTTCTCCCGCTGGATGGCAGTGTTTGCAAACTGGGAGGCCATGGGAGCCAGGGAAAGGTGTGAGGCCCTCATCAAGGGGTCCCAGCCTCCTGGGTGATGGTGGCTTTGGCTGCCTGGGGACTGGAGGGAGAAGGGGTAGGGCTGGGGACCCAGGCCTCACGCCTGGATGAGGGTGGTTGGAAATTAGGTAGAAGGGGAAGGTCAGCCGGCCTGAGGCCCTGGCAGGGGGATCCTCACTCCTGGATGACAGTGGCCGTGTCAGCCCAGGCCTGGAGGGCTTCGCGCACATTGCGGTTGCGACAGTGGTAGCCAGCCAGGTACATGTAGGGGTAGATGTGCTCATCCCGGTAGTAGGTCTTGGCTGAGGCAATGCCCTGGGGACAGAGCGGAGGGACCTCAGGGCACAGGCCCAGTGGCCGTGGATGGCAAAAATCCCATTCGGTCACACCCATGAGGCGCAGTGGGCCGATCCCAGAGAGTCCGGCCTCTGATCTCGCCCCACCCCCCTCTATCCTCTCTGCCAAGTGCTCCTGCCCAGGCTCTGCAGTGGGCTACCTGTTGAGGCCTGGACCACACTGCAGGGGGCAGAGACCCCCAGAGAACAAGGGCTAGGAAAGGGAAGGGACCCATTCTCCAAGCTCAGGACGCATCCATTTCCCGGGCTTTCAGACACACTCCTACACAAACACCAAAGGCTTTTAAGCCCGGCCCAATGTCCTTCCTACTCCCCCACCCCCACAGAGTTAAACAACCCCTTCCCAGGGATCCCGCCACAGGTGACCTCTGTTATACTCTAGGACAATAACAGGCAGCAGAAAAAGCAGGGCTGAGGGGACAAATTCAGACCCCAGCCCTCCCACGCTGGGGAACACAGAACACCCCTGACAGCCCTCCGTGCCCTCAATACATGCAGGGCAAATACTAAATGGGACACGGATGGGCGATACCCCTCGATACACATCAAGTTCCTCTCTCACCTGCCCCCTCCCAGTCCCCAAACAGAATGGGACCCCAGCCACTGTTGGGCCTCCCTTCTGTACCCTCCTGAGATGTCCCCACCTTGTGGTAGAGGGTGAGTGGGTCTGGCCGGCCAGGGGTGGGCTCCAGTTCCTCCAGATCTGCCAGGTTCCCCAGTGCCATGGGGTACCTGGGAAAGGGTCATTGAGTCCAGGCTGCCTCCCAGCCACCCACTCGGAGGCCCAGCCTGGCCACTTTCCCCTACTGACCTTTCCAGATGTCCCAGGTCATAGAGCAGCCAGAGCAGCTTCTGGGGGTGGGGGGCAAAGAAGAGAGAGAGAGAGAGAGAGAGAGAGAGAGAGAGAGGCAGGAGGGGGGGGGGGGAGGGTCTCAGTCTCCCAGGCAGATGGGAGTTTGGCAGCAGCAGGGACCTCCCACCAGGTGGGTGGGGCCAGAATTGAGGAACCAGCCCCTTCCGAGCCCTTTCACATCCCAGTTCTACTGTTCCCAAGAGCCCTGGGAAAGGCCAGGCAGAGAATGATCAACCTGTGTTCCAGAAGGGGAAGCTGCAGCTCCAGAAGGGAAAGCGCCCCCACCCGGGGTTCCCCAGGCACCCCTCACCTGCTGGAGCTGCAGCAGCTCCAGGGAGTCGGTGTGCAGGTCGATGGAAGGGTTGATGGCACACACCATGAACGCCACCTCCATCTTGCGGTCACAGCGCAAGTATGAGCCTTTCAGGTACAGCCAGCTCTTGGGAAAGCACAAGACGAGATGTCTCAGGATGGCCCACCTGGGCCCGCTCCAGAAAATGACCACCAGGAAAAGGGGATTCCCCCCCCTTCTTGGCATATGGAGGTGATGCCAGGAAGAGGGGAGGTGGCTTGGGCTAGGAGAGAAGAGTACCAAGTGCACCAAGTGGGGGGAGGGGCAGTACCCGCTCAGCCACACCCGCGTTGACCGTCTGGCCCCTGCGATCTTCATTGCCCTTGCCATGCCAAGTGACCTCAGCTGTCTGTTCTCCGTTGGGCCCAAACACTACCCAGGCGTGGTCCTCGGACAGGGCCAGGTGGACATCTCGGAGACCCAGAGCCTGGCAGGCCCCCACCACGGCAAACGCCACACCAGAGCTGTCCAGTTTAGTGCCTGTGGAAGGGAAGGGAATGCAAGAGGGTCCTCTGAGCTCTGACCTAGGGAAAGGGGCCAGGTCATGATGGGCCATGCTTCCTCCCATGCTCACCTCCAAGCCTGTGCCCAAACTTGATATGCTCCTGCCCATCCGTTCTCAATCCCTTTCCTCCTTTGTGTTCGAAG